ACCAAGTCATCACTTGGCCACCCCTCCTCTTCTTCTATCCACACCCCCGGTGAGCAAACAACGCACGTCGGAGGGAGGCGGTGGGCTGGCGTGTGCAACACGTGGCCGAGCCATCTGACTCTGGTGTGTGAAATGACGGTGGTGAGTGGCTCAGTTCCTTTATCTGTGCCGTAAACAAGGCGTCGAACGCGCTCGTTGCTCACGCGGTGTTCCCACCAGATGTGAGCCAAACTGCGAAGGCACCGATGGTCGAACGTAACTAGCCTCTTTATGTCTGTTGATCTAAGGGGCCAGGTTTCGCAACCGTACAGTAGGGTCGGACTTACCGCTGCGTTGTACACTTTATCCTTCAGGGTGAGAGTGATGTCGCGCCGGTGCCATAGGTGACGAAGACTATCAAAAGCACTTCGAGCTTTTGCTATACGCTTCGTGATCTCGTCTTCGATCCCAAGGGCGCTGATACAACTTCCCAGGTGGTTGAATTTTTACCTTCCAATATTTTTTTGGCTTTTTTCTGTGTTCTGTCGCACGCATTTGGTTGGCCGTTCAAATCGGAGTTCCTAGTATACAGTGCACGACCGTCGCGCTATACACATGTGCAAATGTGCATAGTCTGAGAAATAAACTGGACAAGATTCATCTTTTTTTAGCCGAACACTGCCCTGATCTGATTTCGTTCACTGAGACTTGGCTGACTTCGGACATTACGGACCCTGAGATTCCCATTCAAGACTGCCATACTTCATCATCATCATCATCCATACACGTTAGTTGAGGGTTGGAAACACCTCAGCTAATGTGCTGCAAGGTAAGATACAGAAAAGTTACACTACTAAAAGATTAAAATGCTGGTACTATGATGTTAAATATTATATTATGTAATTCGTGTGAGATTGGACGGGTAGGCAAAGAAACTCACAACACTTGGGCAGGCTGTTCGCCATATCATCAAGTGTGTCCAACCAAACGTGTTCATCTTCCTTAGGACCCAGCCAGGCAGTCAGGATGCCCCAGCCCACGCCTGTTTCCAAGGGAGGGTTTCGTTCCTCTCGCCCAAGTCATCGCTTGACCTCCTCTCCTCCTTCCAACCACACCCCGGCGCGCAAACAGTACATGTCACAGGAGTCGATGGGCTGGCATGCGCAACACGTGGTATAGCCATCGGAGCCTGTTGCGTGATATACTGGTGCTGAGCGGTTCACTAGCTCTTCCTGTACCGAATACGCGACGCCGAACACGCTCATTGCTCACGCGGTGCTCCCAATAGACATGATTTAAGCTGCGAATGCAGCGATACCCTACTTCCCTAGCTGATCGTCCTGAAGGACATGTTGACGGAGGTGTTGTTTACTGGAAAATGGATCTTCTAATTCATGTTGTTGAAGCTTTAAGTGACAGTGACGGGGAATGGAAGCTCATTTGGTGCCGCGTCCATGATACTCGTAGATTGCTTATAGTCGGTATTATGTACAGGACTCCATCGGGATCTGGTACCGGCTTGTTGGACGCTTTGTCTGATTATGGGTGACTTCAATGCCCCCAATATCGATTGGGAACACCTTAACTGTGAGCTCTCTGTCGAATCTTTTGACTACGCTTTCATCGAATCAGTCCTGGAACCAAACCTGACTCACCATGTTACAGCTCCTACTCGGATTCTCACAGACCAGGCTCCTCATATTCTTGACCTAGCGCTTACATCAGCGCCGTCCAACCTCACTGGATTATGTTCTCCAGCCTCTGGGCAAAAATGACCACCATGTTTGTCTTTCTCATGAGCATGATGTCTCGCTGTTCATGATCAAGAAGTTCACTCCCGAAATTCCTTGCGTGCCGATTCAGGATGTATAAAAGCCTCTGTGAATGTACTCGATTGGAGCATCCCCTGAACCCTTAGAGCTGGAGGATTCACTTCCGCACCAAGGCAAACGTGCTGATTGGTCAGTTTGTCTTACTCTCCCGAAGAAGACCGCTTTCTAGGGGTCCCCTTTCTCCATGTTGTACTACGACCGTTGTTGGAAGAATGATGGAGTTTATAAGCTAAATTCAAGTTTGGACAATCAACTTCTGCCCGTTCTGACTACAAAGCCGCCAGAAACCCTTGTATCGCAAAAGAACGTGAGAAGCGCCAGAAGTGTGTGCGATTTGGCTTTACAGTCTTCAACGTGTCCAAAGAAACCTTTCGTATCTGAAATTGACTACCAAAACTTGTAATTGTGTCCCTGCCTTGTTCTCCTCCAGGTGAGCAGACGTACTTCACGATGATGCGAAAGCTGATCTTGCCAAACTGTACTCCTCCGTCTATACAATAGAGGCCTCGCTATCCTGTTCTATAGTCGATTCGCATCCGTCTCCTTTTGACTCTGTTGAGATAAACGCTGACATGCTATTGAGGCTTCTCCTTGAATTGGATACCAACTCGTCTCCTGGTGCAGATAGTTTGCATCCTCTGTTTCTCGAGACCGTCGCTGAGCATGTTGCAAGCCCTGTAAGTCATGTTTTTCGCCTCTCCTTGGCAACTGGTCGGCCTCCATCTGATTGGAAAGTCGGTATCATCAAGCCAATTTACAGAAGTGGGAACCGGCAAAACCCTTCTGATGCCCGAGTTGCCCGACGTCGGTTATTTGTAAAGTCATGAAGAGGCTTGTGAAATCTTCTTTACAGCGTCACTTTGATGCCCTAAATCTGATTTCCCCTAAGCATGGGTTCCAGAGGGCTCGTTCTTGCGTTCCCAGCCTGCTTGTCGTTAGAGAAAGATGGGCAAAAGCCTTAGACATTTGTAGACGTTTGGACGTTATTTTCGTCGGCTTCAGTATGGTGTTTGATAAAACACCACATGAATTACTCATCCTTAAGCTTCGGAGTATTGGTGCCACGGACGGTATCCTCTCTTGGATCGCGGATTTTTTGCATGGTCGTCCAATAAGAGTCAAAGTGAATGAAGTCCTTCCCCAGCCTTTTCTGTTTACCAGTGGTATGTCGCGGGGTTCGGTCCTTGCTCCTGAATTCTTCAAATTCATCAACGACCTTCCATCTGTGCTCCAGATGCAGTGTCTAATCTATGCTGATGATCTGAAACTATTGTTAGTTTCTGGCCTCGATGATACGGACAGCTTACAGTCAACACTTGACATCATTAATAATTGGTCCCTTACTTGGGCTTTGCTCATTAACCTTGGCAAGTGCTACCTCCTCTCAATCGGTGCCCCTGAATCCTTCGACACATACCATGTTGGCGGTTGTCTACTCACGAATGCCACTCTAACGAAGGACCTAGACACTATTGTGTCTCCCGATCTTAAGACAACCCAATATATTTTGAAAAGAGTCGGTGCAGCTAACCGGATGTTCAGCGCCATTAAATCTTTCGAATGGCCCCGGAGATCTTCAAACTCCTGTTTGTCTCGCATGTGAGGCCTATTCTTGAGTATGGCTTACCGGCTGTTTACCCCCATGAAATTTGAATGCAACATGCTTGAAAGAATACAGAGGCGTGGTTCCAAATCGCTCTCAGCGTTTCGTGGTATCTCCTACCCTGCTCGCCTACAACATAAATCTGTTCTCTTTGGATTATCGTTGTTGCCGCGAAAACCTAATATACACCAGGCATATTCTTAGAGGAGAACTGGGCACCAAGTTGCAACAATTCTTCCAGTTGAACGCTAAAAGATGTCACGGATTTGTGCAGGCCTGGTCGGGTTAGCTTAGACGAAAGTTACGCGCACCCTGAGCACTGACCCTGTTCACGCGCTTATTCGGGTGACACTGAGTCCTCTGAAACGGACTACGATACGCACATGACCGGGGAACTTAGACGCGCAAGACTTAGAGAAACGCGGAACACACGACTAGAGCTGCGCACACGATCACGTGATCACGCGGTTCCCAATCACCGAGAGAGGAGACAAGTGAAGACGAAGCGGACCTCTGGGAGCTCTTTTACGATCCACAAAGCCCGAATCACAGTTGGAACAATGCTTCATTTTGTGGGTGAATGAATCACCACGTAGGGCTGGTGGTTTATGAAAGAACATTGTTCGCTTTAGCATAGTTGTGCCCCGACTCGGGATGGCTAGGTCCTACTACGTTGTAGGAAGGAATTGAACTTTGCGTAGCACAGCCCACGCACTGGCGTTTGTGGCGCATTTTGCGGGGATACTTTACGTGCCCGAGGAGAACTGGACACCGAATTGCATCAATTCTTCCAGTTGAACACTGGAAGCTCGACGCGGGGACACATTTAGAAGCTGTTTAAACCGAGGGTCACTGTGTCCGTCCGGTTGTCACTCTATCCAGTCGGGTGGTGAACGGCTGGAGCTCTGCCGGAGCCTGTTGTCAACGCGTCCAGTGAGAACAATTTTAAGAGGCTGTTGAACCTCCATTTGCTATGTATGCCGGGATCGCCTTGTTTTCGTTGCAGCTCTAACGGTTCCTTGTGAATGCCGTTTCTTAACGTCACTCATCGTCCCTACTCTGACCGGGATGCGATGAAGCTGACAAGGGTTCTTCCTTCTGCTTTCTACAATTCAGTGGTTCAGTAATAGCAGGTCAAGTCGGCCATGATTTATCTGGACTGTTTCATCCCACTCGGGTGCCAACTCTTCGTGGTCACCCACTGAAATTGCACAAACCCCGTTCAGACCGGGTTGGGACTGATTCTCGGTTTTCACTCCGGGATATAGACTCTTGGAATGCGTTACCCGCTGAACTAGTGACGGCGCCAACGGTAACAGAGTTCGAGCATCGAATTGACGCCCTTGGTCTGCAGTTTAAAATCTTCTCATCTTAATTTGCTTATACATGTTGATGCGTACACCTTTTTAGCTTCTCATCTGTATTCCAAGCTTGTTATACTCATTGTTCTATCTTGCCTTGTTTTTGTTCTTCTTCCACTTTTCTTCATTTCATATGGCCGACACAGCGGGGACTGCTGGTGCAGGGCACTTGGGCATTGTTTGCTTTACCTAGAGTGTAGCGTGTGTGTTTATTTTGCTCTACCTTGCAGATCGCCCCACAGATTTCACTTCGAGATCAACGGCGCTTTACAAGTTGGAACAATCACGGGATTCTCCTGCTGTTTCGGTCCCACTTGAATTTGAATAGTGCTCCTGGGTCGCTAACTTCCTGAATGGCTAAAGAATGCAGATCAAACTGAACGACACCTACTTCAATCCTGTTTTTATGATCAGCGGGTTCCCACAGAGCTCTCTTCTTGGTCCTGTGCCCTTCAAAATCTACACCAATGATATTCCATCTGAGCTTCAGACTGATTGATTCATTGTGGCATCTGCGCAATGTGTCAGTCCAACACTAGTCAGTCACCGATTGAGCTGTTCCTATTGGTTGGATCCACCAGCGTCAGTGTGTTTGTGTGTCGATTACCGCCAGCTAAGCATTAATTAGACTGTCTGAACTTATGCGAAGCCTTGTCTTTGTGGCGACTCAATACATTCTGTGCATTGCTGAAACTGACATGTTCTACTTTCGTGCGCTACGGACCGAACACTACGTTCTACCAAGTGTCGTGATTCAGTACTCGCCCAGTTGTAACACTCATGTATGCTGATAATCTTAAACTGTGGCTAGAGGTGTCCAAGCTTGATGATGCTGATTTACTACAGAGAACGCTAGACCGGTTGCACTGCTGGTCAGTGGAGAGGCAGCTACCCATTAACCATGCTGTGTTCTGTCCTCCCAATTGGTGCCCTGGACTCCTTTGGTGTTTATCACGTTGGGGTGCTTCCTGTTCAGGAACGCAACCTTGGAAAGGGATCTTGGAGTTCTTGTCTCGCCAAACCTACGCACGACTCAAGACACCTCAAAGAAATTTACCGCTGCTAATAGGATGCTCCTTTTCCCATATGACTCTAGACATATTCCGACTTCTCTTCAGCTCTCATGTTCGACAAATTCTTGAGTACAGATTGCCAGGATCCTATCTTCATGAAAAGCGAATGCGTACCGATAAGGAAGTTCATCGGCGGGGATCGAAATCCGTCGTAACACTTCGGAACCTGTCTTACTCTAATCACCTTCAAAGGACAAATTTTTTCTGCTTGGGGTCTCGTCGTCGCCGTGGTGCCTTGATTTACACGCGATGTATTCTCCGAAGTGTGATGAGAGATGAGGTACAAGAGTTCTCTCTTTTTTGTGCGGATAGTTCGACAAGAGATCACGGTATGAAACTGTTTAAACCAAGGAGGTTTCGGGTTCGCTCTGATGTCACTTTGTCAACTCATGTGATGAATGATTGGAACAGTTTACCTGAGCTAGTCAGTATGCAAACAGCGGAATCTTTCCAACGATTGCTAGACATCTGTTTGCTGGAGAAGCATGGATCTTATAGTGTTCACTGTGACCGCAATGTTCTCTTGTGCAACACTTCGCATCAACTCACATGCTCCCTACATTGAGCGGGAAGTAGTGGGGCTGACAAAGGCTTTCCTTTCTGCTCTCTACAAACCAGTGAACCAACAGTGTCTTAGTTTAACCATAACTTTGGTCATCTGATCATTTTCGCTATCAAAGCTTTGAATAATAGGCTTTTACTGGAGGATAAATAGAAGATAACTCAAACCATTCCAGCAGGTTTTACCCACCAGATGAGCACGCCCGTATTCCTGGCTTTTTACACCTGCGCATTTGACGGAACCGCGTCCAATCAGCTGCTCTTTTTGTTTACGGCACGCTGGCCGCTTGCTTGCACAATCCTATCACAGCTGTTTTTATGGGGTTCTGTATGATGTTCATTCACTGCTGTTTCAGAATGTTAACGGCCGATATATTTGTGAAGTTATTTTTAGAATTTTTGCGATTCCATCGGGAATATTGTATCCAGGCTTGTCTCTCTTGTCTTATCAGCGATAAAATCGACTTAAGGACTGTTTTACTAGTAGGCACTAGGTTAGTGAAAGGTTTAGGGGTTCAGACGCATCCCGAACGCTTGCTTAGTGTGGGTTTCTATTCAATGCAGTACCGGAGGATAAGAGGGGACTTGATCCTCACTTACCATATTTCAACAGGGCAGATCTTACTGAACCTGTCCTGATTATTTACTCTTGCCAAGTTATCAAACCTCCGCTGTCACTCATTGAAGCTGCACAAACCACTTTCTGATCGGATTAGAGCAGAAACTCGTTTGTTGTTCTGATTTATAGAGCTCTAAAACTCGCTTCCAGATCACGTGGTTAGAGAACCCGTGGTTAAGGATTTTGCGCGTCAGCTCGATGCACTTGGGTGGCAGCCGGCTTCAAGGATCACAAATCTTGCTTTCTAATCTGAGGGCTTGGGTTCGTGCTTGAGTAGGGACCGGGCGACTCTCGCAGTATCCTTAGCCCAAGTGCGACTGGTGGTGGTTGCGCGGCAGCGAAGCGTCGCTACTGCGTACCGGCGTACTGCTAATGCCTTTCATTTTTTTCTTCTTGGATGGCAACACCAAACCTTTCTAGCTGACCCACCTCATGTTATCGCTCTCGGAGTAAGACTGAAAGCCTGTTTGATTCCACCTTGAAAACACAATAGTGAGTGCGACTGCATAAAATGCATCGTCACAATGAGCATATGACCGGTCAAGATGTAGAAGGACACACCATTTCCAATTGTTCTACCTTTGAATGCGCATTTGCTTAACTAGGAACCCGGACGCTCAAGTGATGTGGGTTTGTGTGACACAGGCTACAGGAAGAATGTTTCAAAACACAGAACACAATGTTCGGATTTGTCGGCACGAATTGTTCCGACACAAAACATCTTTCCTTGCCGTAAAACACGCTTGTTTTGAATTACTTGACGTTCTGTCCTTGTGCACAGTTATAACAAGTCCAAGCAATTCTCCTTGTGCTAGCCAATGTACTCCTGTAGCCGTCTGGTGATTCCACGTTATGCCTGTGTAAAACTTTAACTAAAATTATTTCACTGTACACCTAGGCGATCCGGGGAATCTCCAGGCTGTTACACACTTCATGGACATTTGGACGCTCTGCGTTCCAATATGACTACATCTTTAGCTTTCAGTTTTCTTTTTCTTCAACTCCTTACATATCTTTGTATTATAGTTACGTGGCTACGTTCCACTTCTTACCTTCTGGCTTCACTGTTTCCTCTTTCTTACTTCACGTAACCGACCCGGAAACGACTGCTAGCTTAGGATACATGGGCAGTAACTGATTGGTCAGAGTATGATATTGTCGTTGCTTTTAGTTTATCCACGTCTCAAATCCATTTGTCATCTCTTGATTCAACGTCCAGCGGCAAGATAAACACACGAGATAATCCTATCGTTCCAATCTCACTTGAGGCTGTCACGTTGAATGGTTACGAGTCGAAGTTGAAGAAGTGAATGCGATAGTAATGTCACCGTAACTGCAGCATGAGAGCTTTATTCTACTTAAAAAGTAATTCCACCACCTCATAGCACCCTGTCTATCGCGGATGTACATTATCGTACTACAAAACTTGAATAAGCAAGATTGTTTTCTCTCATGTTCGAACAAGATATTACCATTCACGTTTTTGCGCACGTAACTTGTTCCACAGGCCACTGCTCATGAGCTCACAATGGTTGTCGGCATTGTGTTCTCTGACGAATACAGACAGCTCACCTGCACTTCGCCTAAATTTCTAAACCGATACGCGATGGTGATGGATTTGATCAATGCATACGGCATCGTACGCGATATGGTTCGCATCCCGCCGGCTTCATTTGCTTCCGATGAACTAGCCATCAAGGAGTTGTCCGTATTTCACTCGTACGTCACTCTTTTTTTCAGTTTGTTACTTGTATACATGGTCCTATTGCTTCTAGAATTCAGAAAATGCCGCCCCCTTGCACTCGATGACTAGGCAGCAATCGTGCTTAGCATAAAAGCTACATTGTATATGTTTATTCTCATTTTCCTTCACTACTATTTCTGCCTAGCAATCCGGTCGAAGCATACATTCAGTTTCTTTATCATGCGTCTTATCTATCCGCAACTCCCATATTGAGTCGGTCGTAGCTTTAAGGATCCCAAGCTTACATTGTAATCTGAGGGCGCGGATTCGAGCCTGCGAAGCGACCGGGTCACTGTCGCAGTATTCTTAGTCCACCTACGATTGGTGGTGGTTCCGCGGCAGGGAAGCGTCGATACTGCAAACCGTCTTACTGCATTATACCTTTCCTTTTTTCCTGTTGACTCTTTTGGGTTGTGGACGCTGTCACGCATAACTCCATCGACAGACAAGTTTTTACACTTGCGCATCAGTGGGAGTTACTCTGCTCCGAGTAGCTGTCGAAAAGGGCTCTTGCAACCGTTTACCATGACCACCACCAAGACTTGCATGGGCCATAATACTAATAATACTAACGTGTCAGCTTACGCCGTACCGGCATTTCGCTACCGCATGACCACCAACAGTCGCGCGGGCTGAGTATACCGCGAGGATGCCCATCCCTACGCGGATTCACACCGGTGACTGTAGGATCGCAAGCCAGGTGTGCAGGCTACTCGGCCACCGGCCTAGCTGCTTGCCGCCACCGCCAACCAACGGACGCCGTCGGTTTAATTCAGTTCAACTGTACCCTGAGGATCCGGAAACCGAAGGGCAGTGGTTTCAGTTACCACGACCCGCGTCACCATGATGGCAGTAACAATCGTAGGTGAAATGTTGTTGAACACAAACAGGACAAAAAGAGGTAACCAAATGAGAAGTGGGTTGACTTAACTTGGACGGAATCGTAAGCGATAGATGCACAAGCGCTACTGACTGCATAACTGGCATGTCCGACAGCCTCCAACCACTGGTGTGAACCATTCAGAGGCCTCCACGCAAGTACCAGCCTGACCAAGTCTCTCATTCAACTTTTTCCAACCATTATTCCGCGTCATCAACTGACCATCTCGCGGTTTCGCCAAACCTGGTGCGTCAACGACGTATACTGCATGCCGAGAAAGACAGTCAACGGGTACACTGAGGACATTGCTTAGCCATCGTAAGCGGTTCAACCTAATCAAATACTGGGGTAAGGAACTAGAAGGCTTCTTGCCGAAAACCAAATGGCCGACCTCATCATTGCTCATCCGTTGTTCCCACCAGATGTGAGAAATATCCCGGAATCACGGATGATCAAAGACAGCCAGGCGTTTAATGTCTTCAATGCGAATTAGCCCGATCTCTGATCAACACAGCAAAACTAGTCTTATCGCAGCGTTATATACCATACCTTTCACTGACAGGCTGACATCTCGCCGTCTGCATACATGGTTTAGCCTCTAAGATGTGCTGGATTTGCTGCTACGCCAAATACTTTCTTTAATGCTTTGATCACTAGAGGTGACCCGACCACCAAGGTAGTTGGACAGATCCGCCACTTCTAATGGCGTTGTCGATCCAGTCCCTGTAACAATATTTTGCATTTTAGAGGTTCGAGACACATACCGAGGCATGCAGTGCTACGTGTCACTCTATTCACTAGTACTTACATAACCACCGCGTCAAACTCAATGTGAGCTATGCCGTTCGCATACTCCAGGTTTATCTGTTGGTCACCTGACGGAATTTCCATTCCATATGAGGCTGAGGGGATAGAGTCCTCTATGCTCACTTAGATCGCAAAGTTGAAAAGGAAAAGATATGAAAGCCAATCCGGGTGAACTCCACTCGTCGTGGGGAACACACGGACAGCTCCCGTAGACCGTTATCTGACAAGGATTTTTTCCTACATATTCTTCATCACAGTGGACACTGTCACAAGCTACTACCGTCAATTAAGACAAAGGCGGTCATCCACTCAATAGAACTAATACAACAAGCCGTTTGTATGCCTGCTACTGTTGTGACTCCTGACCAAAACATCAGCAGTACGCCGGCACACCGTACCGGCGCTTCGCTGACACGCGACTACCACTAGTCGCGCGTGGGCTGAGCATGCCGCGAGATCGCTCACACTTATGCCTATTCGAACCAGTGACCTCCGGATTACACGGATGCAGGCTTGTGATCCTATCGGTCACCAACCGGACATTTGACGAAGAGTGGACATGACATCACTCTGGCCGAAAACCGGCCTGACTGTCATTTATTCGAGCCTTCTGAGGACCAGCGCATTGTTGCATTTTGGTCAATGGTATATTGCGAATAAAAATTCGAAGCACCATATATTCCGCAGGATGGTAGGTAGTTGGGGTTATTCAAGAGATAAACAACTGTGAACAACGAACAACCGAATACAGTGAACATATTGTCAGTCTGAACCGTTCGCATGTAGTTTAATGTAATCTGAAATGTCACTCCCTTTGGTTTTGCCAGAAGAGCGATTATGGGTCGTTGCGATTTGGTTTTCTATATCTACTTATCGTTCTGTGTGTGTAATGCGGCCAGCGCATTGTCGACACTATCTTTAAACACAGAGTCGCGTTCCATGCATTCATTGTGGATCAATGCAGAATCAGGTACACGAACATTCGGAGTTGCGTAGTGCATATTCAAGTGCGTGATGAGTGAGAGTTGACGCTGCTTTTTGATCGACCTGAACCGGAGTACGGAGGCTGATAGAAACACTATGAACTTGGGCAATTTTTTTGAGTTACGAGTTTAGTGCCTCACCAGCATCAGTTGTGAAGTAGGCGGCAGTATCTTGCACAGTACATAAGGATGAAGAAAGTCACTAGAGGAAAGAATGATAACGCGGATAGACCGTACTAGAAACGAAGTCTAGTGGGCAGATGATGCTCCCCGATTGCTCATTCTGAGAGATCGGTTTTGTTTCGGGGTACTCTACCTTTGACTCAAAACTCTGACCTGAAAGGCAGTCCAAAGTAGACTCGGCTTGAAAGTGCTTGCCGCCTTTCATTGAAACTTCTTGAAATAATCAGAACCGTTCGCATGTATTTCTGACCACCGTAAATTATACACGTGTCATTAAGGTCATTTACATGGGATCTTTGGCGGGTTCACGTTTTATTGATTTGAGGCTTCTTAGCGTGAAGTGGGTAGTAGCAATCATTGGTCACGAGTGATAATTTCAAATATTCAGAAATAAAAATTTATGCCTCTGCCTTACGCCAATCGAGCAGTTGAAGTCAGCAGAAGTGCCGACGTTTTGCTGCCGCGCAACCACCACCAGTCACAGCCCAGTCGGTTGTTCAAGGTACATTCAAAGTGTGTTCGCCAGGTCTGCGTCATGTCTGCAGTCTATGCAGGCAGCGCCTGATATATCATCGAGCAGCGTTCTCAGCGGCTGCATCGTGGTTCCATACACCGCTTTTAATGAGTCATAGAATTCCTTGTGTTGTGGAGTCGCATATATGGTTGCCGGCATCCGGTTTCCGATTTGCCTGTCACTGTGGCCAGCCACAGGACGTCTGCGCCTACAGAGGGACCGTGAGTGGCTTGCGCTGCACCACCCACTCCACAGCTGGCTTGCCGAACTACCTCCTCGTGGTGCCAGCTGGGTGGTTCGGGTGTACCCTGTTCCAGCAAAGTGTTCGGCGACAATGTTCCACCTCCGTGGGGCATTGTATTCCAGCAATTGTGCTGACTTCATGGGGAGTATTGGGCCCCTGTTTAGTAATCTACCAAACAAAGACGTATGAACTGAACATTCAGTCAACGCCTCCCAATGGGCGCGATTCCCTAAATTCGCCCCGCTGCCTTGCGGGTAGGTTATTTAGCCAAAAGCTCGGGGTGGAGTCCCCTAAGTCAACTCCCTACTTCGGCTTGGGCAACCGGGTAGTATCACGCCCTCTCGCAGAACCATGGACTGTATTACAACTTGCTCATCAGCTGCTGTTTCTGCTGGTCACTTTCACGCGACTTCATCACACGCCAATTGTTTGTTTGTTAACAATCCTCACGTTACCCGATTCACGTGTTCAACAATCTGGCTGCGATTCCGGTTGCGCCGCAGATCAAGGAGTTCAACCTATGGCTCTCCTTCGTCCCCGATCCTCGTTCCGTCTGGCGTGCTTCAACGTTCGGACACTCATGCAGATTGAACAGCAAGCCGGTCTAGTGCGCACCCTAGATTCCCTGCGCGTTGATGTCTGCTGCCTTTCAGAAACCCGATTGCAAGATCCCAGCACTATGCTTACCTTGACATCCCCCACTGACCACGAAGCCAGATATCACCTGCGTCTTTCTGGCGATCCAGAAGCAGCCTCAGCGGGTCTGGCTGGTGTAGGTATAGCACTAAGTGACAAGGCTGAGGCTGTACTACTGGACTGGTTCCCTATTAACAGCCGACTATGTGCAGTTCCGCTTCAGGGTTCATGTAGAATCAACAGGCAACGCGAAGAGAGACGCAACTTGTTTGTGATCTCTGTGTACGCTCCAACTGACTGTAGTGGCGACTCTGTCAAGGACGATTTCTACCGAGATCTACATCAGCTCTTGACTAATGCTAAAAATTCGGATGTCATTATCCTTGCTGGGAATTTTAATGCACGGGTTGGCCGCCTGTTACCGTATGAACGCCATCTTGGTGGTCATCACGCGCTCGATGAGACCGCTCTGTACGGAGAGAGACTTCTCACATTGTGCGAGGACAACCGTCTGTTTCTTTCGAGCACTAGCTTCTGGCATACGAAGAAGCGTTCCGCAACGTGGCGTCCCCCTTCTTCAACACAACCGTGGTCTCAAATTGATCACATTGCAATTAGCTTCAGATGGCGCGGCAGCGTACTGGATTGCAGGTCCTTTTGGTCCACTTTCGTTGATTCAGATCATGCTCTTGTCTGCGCGAAAATCCGTATGCGTTTTGGAGGATCCCGAAGCACGAAGCACCGCAAGATTGATGTAAACAGATTAACTGATTCCTCTGTCCAGGAGAACTATCAGTCTTCACTGGCATATGCACTCAGTTG